TTTAATTTTTTCCCTTATGATAATCCCTCCCTAGCCTAGTTATTTTTTTCTTATAAAAAATCCACTCTGTGTCACTCTTCTATTCCCTGACTCTTCCCCTTTTTTCTTTCTATCAGTATATGTCCGTGGGAACATGACAACTCTATCATCCTCCTCTCAATCCCCGACTACCCTCAAATCTCGTTTGTCCATAAGAGTGGACGAAGCCTCCTGATCCCTATTGGCTTAATGTCACAAGCTTTTCCCCTAGGAAATATTGTTTTCCAACAGCCCCTTGTGGTGTCCCACATCCAACTTAAGTTGTAGAATGCCTCTGCTTGAGGGAATGTTGTCTACACCTTTCCTTATACCATGTAAAGGAAGAGGTTGGTTATAAAAAGATAAGAGGGGTATGGTTCTAACTCGAAGACTTCCCAGTTTTGCCACTAGTACTCTGGAACTAATCCTTGCCCACAGCCAATGTTTGCCCTTTGTTTGTTCTGACATTCTCTTTAAGCTTCCTACTTAAAGAAAGCCCCTTACTCACCTCCTTCCTCAGCTCCTCCTTCCTATTGTCGAAGAATAGGAACTGTATGCCTTCTCACACTTCACAGACGTTGTCTTAGATACCTCTTCTAGCATTGATTACCTCTTCTACATTTATTTCTTCTTCTTCTAGCATCTCTTTTTCTACACTGAATGAATCAAAGGAGGACCAATCTGTTATGTATGCAAATATGGAAGACGCATCAAGAATAAGAAATTGATGTTCAAGTAAATATGAAATTTTAATTAGTATTAAATTTATAAATAGTTAGAATCCTAATTAATATTAGATTTCTAAATAGTTGAAATTCTAATTAGTATTACATCCCTAAATAATATATATATTTTCCATTAGTATTAAATTCTAAATAGTATAGAATTTTCAATATTTACTAAAGTATTTCTAATTAAATTTAAATTTCAAATTAAATTAACATTTCTATATAAGAATTGTAACATCTATATAAAGGGAAATGTTTGCTACTAATAAAATAAATCATAATATTATTTTAAAGTACGAGATTGGAGCTCTGTCTAATGAAATCCAAAGTAGCAGCTCTCTTTGATGAGCTATAATCTATTTTTACAAAACAGATCGTTTAAGAAATAGCAATAAGGAGAAGAAATAGATTCTAGAACCAAAATTTTCAGATAACCGCCCAATGACAAGATCCTGATCTCGGGAACATAGCAAATTGGTATCAAAGGCTAACACAATGGGTGACTCTACAACAATGGAAGATCTACGATTGATGGTAAAGGAAGTTTCGCTGCAAACGAAGCACAGACGACAGAAATCGAAAGACGCTTAAGTAGTCAGTTGCAAGAGTTATCCTCACAATTCAAGAAGATGTTAGCTGGAATTGGTCAGAACATGCGAATCGTTTCAGAAGGAACTATTAATAATCATAATCCGCGAGAACAATCGCCCCAAGCGTTTCACGCGGGAAGTTGTTCACAAGGCACAAACCATCACCCAGGTAATGTGGTTGTTTCTTGCTACACTAAATTAGATTTTCCAACCTTCGACAGTTCTGAAAATCTTCTTATCTGATTACATCGGTGTAAAAAAATTTTTATCAATCAAGACACACCGGAAAGAGATAAGGTGGAATTGGCTGCCTTCCACATGTTCAGTGAAGCACAACTTTGGTATCATCAATTAGAATCCAAACAACCCACAATCAACTGGGCCGGATTCAAGGAATACTGCTAGAAAAGATTTGGACCGGCAACCAGAAGCGACCCGTTGGGAGTGCTGGTGAACTTGAAACAAATAGGGGGTCAATTAAGGAGTATCATATTAAGAAAAATTGGCACGGGCAAATAGATTTATTCAAGTTGATCACATATAAGTTTGTTTACAACATGACTGATCAATTATCTCCGCTTTGAGGTCGAGATGCAATCACTTGCCACACTTGTGCATGCAATGAGTATAGCCATTGATTTTGAAAAGAAACAGTACTTGTGGATTATGACCAAACACAATTATAGTGAACCTTCTTAATTCGTGACCAAGCGTAACAATTCAGTTCAGGAGTAACAATATTACGACACATTCTGGTAACACTCCTTCTCCAGTTATAAAAAAACTAACAAGGGCAAAGATGGCAGAAAGAAGACTGAAGGGGCTGTGTTATAACTGCGATGAACTATTTGTTTCAGGTCACCAATGTAAACGGCTATTTTGGCTCGAAATTGAATATGATATTGAACAACAAGAAAAGACCAACGAGACAGCTACATCCACATTTCAAGTTTGATAACAAACTTGAAAACTAGGTGAGAGTAATGTTGAGGACAAATATGAAAGGCACAACAAGAATAGGAAATTGATGTTTAATTAAATATAAAATCCTAATTAATATTAGATTCCTAAATAGTTAGAACTCTAATTAGTATTAAATTCCTAAATAATATATATATTTTTTATTAATATTTGGTTCCTAAATAGTGTAGCATTTCCAATATTTTAACAGAGTATTCCTAATTATATTTAGATTCCAAATTAGATTAATATTCTTAAATAAAAATTATAACGTCTATATAAAAGGAAATGTTTGCTATTAATATAATAAATTAGAATATTATTTTAAAGTACGAGATTGGAGCTCTCTCTAACAAGCTCCATGGTAGTAGCTCTCTTTGATTAGCTATAATCTATTTTCACAAAGTATCTCGCTCAAAAAATCACAACATGGAAAAGAAACAGATTTTGGAACCAGAAATTTCAGATAACTGCTCAGTGACAAGATCTTGATCTTGGGAACATAAAACAATCATTATTTACTTCACCTTCATCAGTGTTTGCACCTCTGTCTTTCTCATACCTCTTTGGCAAAACCCTGTTCGCACAGCCTTTTCAATTCTTGAATATGTTTTATAACCCATTTTTTTATTTCCCTTCTTGAAACAGATTGAGGCTAAGTGGTGGGAGCTGTTAAATCCTTCTGATTTTCCTCAACAGCCATAGTCACTAGAGCAGCAGCTGTCTAAGAGCTGTGAAACCCATAAACCACAATGGATTTCAACTTTTGCTTTGAATTTTCCAGCCGGTTGTTCCCTTATCAATCCTTTGTTCACTCTGCTTCATCCAACGCAATAGGGATCCATTTCAGAGTCCGAAACCCACTTCAGACCTAGGTCACAGATCAGTGATGTCGGACCTCCTGTTTTCCTCTATTTGGGCTTGCCAATTATATGGGGGACCCGAATACCCCGGGTGCAGGTTCTGTTTTCCTTGTGAAAAGCCCATCCTCAAGAGCTTTCCAGTAGGTCAAAGGCCGATGTTGACTCTAATGTGTGAGCGAGGCCTACCTCACTGTACGACTACCACACCCATCAGCCATTACGCGTAAGCAGATAGTGTTATACTTGCCTGCAGATTTCCATAAAATCCTCCCAGAATCGTACTCTCTGATTTTGTTGCAGCAGTAAGTTATGTGGCAAGCCTTGGCGGATTTGAAAATCGAAAAAGGCATCTCTTCAATCTACTTTTGACCACCGATGGTGTTGTCAGCAGCTTGAGGTTTCAGCATCACACTGGCAATATTCTCCCCATGGAACAATCTGGTGTTAAAAGGTCCCAGTTTCATGTACTTCCGTAATCGAGTTCTCCTCTTCTTTTCCATTTTTCGTGGTTGCGAAGGAGGAGAGGGTTTCAGCCACCTTTCTCCATCCCTTTCTGCTCGACCATTCTAGGATGCCCTGTTTGATAGTTTGGCGCCTTTGAACTTTGTAACTCAAAGAAATCATCCTCTGTCATTCTTGTTCAGTGCCGCACAGGTACCCATTATCTTCTCTGTAAACCAGACTATACAGGAGGTTTTCTTTCAGCAATGCAGTGAGGCAATTGGTTAACCATTCAGCTCTGCAGAGACTCGTTTTGAGCACATAGCTACTGCTTCTCCGTTTTTCCTGAATCTGGACAATCATTGCCCCTTTGCTACCGGGCTTCCCGCTAAATAAGTACTTCCTTTCCACCGTGAACTCCTCCCTTGAATACCTCATATCTCTCCAACACCACTATAATCTAACTAAATAAAGATGCCAACATTCGACTCATGGGTATAGCGAAAATTTTAATGGCTGCTAAATAAATTATACGGCTCATGTTCAGCCAATTCTACTCCCACCC